CCATGGGCAAAAATGGAACATACTGCCTTGAAGGAAAGGGCCCAGTCCTGGCAGCATTATCACCTGCTAACTGAAGAGCCCTTGAGCCCTGAATAACTAGCAGCAATACCCAAGTACTACAGTGAGCGCCCTGGGTGATACTCTGAGACTTGCTGGCTTCAGGTTGCAGCATGGCCACAGGCGGGAAGAGCACCAGGTGGGCTCTTGGGGTCCCTGATTCCAGGACTTGACTCTTGGGCAGCATTTCTCAACCTGCCCTGGGCCAGAGAGGAGCCCACTTCCCTGAAGGTTGTGTCCCAGGTCAGGCAGCATTCAGTAAGAGCTGATTTAAGAGCCTGTGGCCCTTAAGGAAAGATTGGCTGATAGTCTGGCAATATTACTCATGGCATGGTGTGGCAGTGGCTACAGGGTGAGATGACTCTGCCTTTGGAAAGGGGAGGGAAGAATGGGAAGGACTGCATCTTGTGGTTTGAGTGCCAGCACTAAGGTTTTTTTCTGTAGTCTCTGGCTCCCAGGCAGCACACCTGGACCTACCAGGGGCCTGGGGAACCTCGCCACCCTGAAGGGAAGGACATAGGCCTGGCTGGCTTTGCCACTTGCTGATTGTAGAGCCCCAGGACCTTGAGCAAACATATACAGTAGTCAGGGAGTGATTGCTGCAGGCCTTCAGTGAGACCCAGCACTGTTCTGGCTTCAGGTCTTACCCAATGCAGTCATAATGGTGATAGCCACAGGAGTGCTTATGTCACTCCACCTACATCTTTAGGTATCAGAACAGAAAGAGAGATTCTGTATGTTTGGGAGAAAGTAAGAGAGGAGAACAAAAGTATCTGCCTGATAATTCAGAGAATTGCCTCCACGAGTCTGCAAGAACCACAGTGTTACTCAAGTTATTTCAAGTATCTGGAAAGCCTTCCCAAGTAGGACAGCTACAAATAAGCACAGACAGTGGATATTATAATAAATACCTAACTCTTTAATGCCCAGACACGAAAGAACATCAACTGGCATCAACACATCCATGAAAAGACTTCAGCAATTAACTAAATAAGGCACCAGGGACCAGTCTTGGAGAAACAGAGATATGTGACCTTTCAGATGAGATTTAAAAATAGCTGCGTTGAAGAAACTCAGATCAATTCAGAATAACACAAGAAGGAATCAGAATTATATCAGATAAATTTAACAAAGAAATAGAAATAAAAAGAAGCAGAAATTCTGGAGCTGAAAATGCAATGGGCACACTGCAGAATGCATCAGTCCTTAAATAGCAGAATGTATCAAGCAGAAAAAGGAATTAGTGAGCTTGAAGATAGGCTATTGAAAACACATAAAGGAATCAAAAGAAAAAAGAATAAATAACAATGAAACATGCCTACAGGATCTGGAAAATAGCCTCAAAAGGGCAAATCTGAGTTATTGGCTTTAAAAAGGAGGTAGAGAAAGAGATGGGGTAGAAAGATTATTGAAAGGGATAATAGACAATTTCCTAAACCTAAAGAAAAATATCAGTATCCAAGTACAAGGAGGTTATAGAACACTAAGCAGATTTAACCTGAAAATTACTTAAGATGTTTAATAATCAGACTCCCAAAGGTCAAGGATAAAGAAAGGATCCTGAAAGTAGCAATATAAAAGAAACAAACAACATACAATAATGCTCCAATACATCTGGCAGCAGGCTTTTCAGTGGAGACCTTATTGGCCAGAAGAGAATGGAATGATATATTTAAAGTGCTGAAGAAACAAAAACATTTACCCTAAAGTAGTATATCTGGCAAAAATATCCTTCAAACATGAAGGAGAGATAAAAAAAAAAATCCCACACAAAAGCTGAGGGATTTCATCAATTCCAGACCTATCCTACAAGAAATGCTAAAGAAAGGACTGCAATCAAAAAGAAAAAACATTAATGAGCAATAAATAATCACTTACATTTACAAAACTCACCGGTAATAGTAAGTACACAGAAAAAACACAGAATATTAAAACACTGCAACTGTTGTATAAACTACTCTTATCCTAAGTAGAAAGACTAAATAAAGGAGGAACCATTAAAAAATTATAATTTCAACAACTTTTTAAGACATAATACAGTAAGATATAAATAGAAACAACAAAAAGTTAAAAAGTGGGGGGACAAATTTAAAACGTTGAGTTTTTCTTAGTTTGTTTATGGAAATAGTGTTATGTTGTTACCAGGTTAAAATATGGGTCTTAAAATAGTATTTGCAAGCCTCATGGTAACCTCAAACCAAAAAACACACAGTAGATACACAAAAAATACAAAGCAAGAAACTAAAGCATGTCACCAGAGAAAAATCACTTTCACTACAGGAAGACAGGAACAAAGAAAGAAGGAAGAGAAGATCACAGAACAACAAGAAAATAAATAACAAAATCACAGAAGTAAGCCCTTATCAATAATAATATTGAGTGTAAGTGGACTAAACTCTAATTAAAAGACTGGCTGAATGGATGAAAAAACAAGACTCATTGTTCTATTGCTGACAAAAAACACACTTCACCTATAAAGATACACATAGACTGAAAATAAAGGTATGAAGAAAGATACTCTATGCCAATGGAAACCAAAAAGGAGGAGTTGCTATACTTCTATCAGACAAAATAGACTTAAATACAGAAACTGTAAGAAGAAACAAAGAAGGTTATTATATAATAATAAAGGGGTCAATTCAGCAAGAGGATATAACAATGGAAAAATATATGTGCAAATCAATAACGAGAAGAAATTTGGAAAGCAACCACGTGGAAATTAAACAATATGCTCCTAATGACCAGTGGATCAATGAAGAAATTAAGAAAGAATTTGAAAAATCTCTTTAAACAAATGATTATGGAAACACAACATGCCAAAATCTATGGAATAGATTGAAAGCAGTACTAAAAGGCATATTTATAGCTGTAAGTGCCTACATCAATAAAGAACAGCTTAAAAGAAACAGTCTCACCATGTGTCTTAAATAATTAGAAAAGCAAGAGCAAACCAAACCCAAAATTAGTAGAAGAAAAGAAAGAATAAAGATCAGAGCAGAAGTAAATGAGATTGAAATGAAAACAACTGATAAGAAAGATCAATAAAACAAGTTTGTTTTCTGAAAAGTTAGAAAAAATTGACAAATCATTAGCCAGACTAAGTAAAAAAGGCAAGATACAAATGAAATCAGAAATGAAAAAGGAGACATTGCAACTGGTACTGCAGAAAGTCAAGGGATTATTAGTCGCTACCATGAGCAACTGTATGCCAATAAATTAGAAAATCTAGAAGAAATTGACAGAGTTCTAAATATTGCCACCTCCCAAGATTGAACCAGGAACAAATATAAATTCTGCACAAACAAAGTAATGAGATCAAAGCCATATTAAAAAGTATCCCAGTAAGGAAAAGCCCAGGACTTGCTGGCTTCACTGCTGAATTCTACCAAACATTCCAAGAAGAACTAATACGAATTCTACTCAGACTATTTCAAAGAAAAAGAGGAGGAGGGAATACTCCCAAACTCATTCTACAAGGCAGTATTATTTGGATACCAAAACTAGACAAAGGCACATCAAGAAAAGAAAAGAAAACCACAGACCAGTATCAGTGATGGATATTGATGCGAAAATCCTCAACAAGATACCGCAAACCAAATTCAACAATACATTAGAAGGATCATTCATCAATACCAAGTGGCATTTATTCCTGAAGTGGAAGGATGGTTCAACATATGCAAATCAATCAGTGTGATACATCATATGTGGTGTGGTGAAAAGGGAACACTTTTACACTGCTGGTGGTAATGTAAACTAATAAAACAACTATGGAAAACAGTATGGGATTCCTTAAAGAACTAAAAGTAGAACTACTGTTTGATCCAGCAATACCACTACTGGGTATCTACTTAGAGGAAAAGAAGACATTATATGAAAAAGTCACTTGCACACGCATATTTATAGCAGCACAATTTGCAATTGCAAATATATGAAACCAGCCTAAATGCCTACCAACCAACAAGTGGATAAAGAAAATGTGGTGTGTATATATATATGTGTGTGTATATATATATATATGTGTGTGTGTATATATATATATATATATATGAATACTACTCAACCATTAAAAGGAATGAAATAATGGCATTCACAGCAACCTGGATGGAGCTGGGGACAATTATTCTAAGTGGAGTAACTCAAGAATGGAAAGCCAGGCATCATATGGTCTCACTTATACGTGAGAGCTAAGCTATGAGAATGCAGAGGCATGCATATAATGGACTTTGGGGACTCAGGGGAAAGGATGGGAGGGGGATCGGAATGGGAGGGACATGAGGGATAAAAGCCTACAAATTGGGTACAGTGTGCATTGCTCAGGTGATGAGTGCATCAAAATCTCAGAAATCACCACTGAAGAACTTTTCCGTGCAATCAGACACCACCTGTTCCCCAAAAACTATTGAAATCAAAATAAATTTTTAAAACAACAACAACAACAATCCAACCCAATAATTTCATCATCTTCTCCCTCCACTGCCTGTGACTCAGACTTACTTTCTCAATAAATTGTACTAGTGTTTATAAAAAGAAATAATCTGTTCACAAAACCTCCTTAACGTGCAATTTGACTATATAAGAAACCTGCACATGTACCCTTGAAGATAAAATGAAAGTTAAAAATATTAAATAAGTGTGTAACTAGTTTTAAAAACTAAAATTTAAAATCATAAGGAAACCAAAGAAATTTAATTTCCAGGTGGTTGGAGGGAGTGGAGAGGGTGGCATTGCTCCTTACTGAAACATATTCCAGTTCAAATTTAGCTATCAGGCATAGTGATGTACATTAATTTATATAAATGTGATTTTAGAATTTAAAAAATGGCGAATTTTTATTTGGTTAATAAATTGTAAGGCAAATTTAAAAAATAATAATTTCTTTGGCAGCTGACATATATTAAAATTTAAAAATATAAAATTAATCTGATACGATTTTATTTTGGTAGATATATCCTGATTGTTTGGCACAAGCCATATATGCAACATTCCATGAAGCATTTCCAGAATCTAGTTACCTCTTTAATGATGAATTTAAAGAAGATCTAGGGAATACCATTTTTCTTTGGTGTTCAGGTATGAATATATCATTTAAATATTGATCATTGTTTTGGTTTTTAAAATTTTGGGGTTGCAGTATTTTATTTATTCCATCCAAAAATATTGGTAGTTCTTTTTCTCACAAAGCGTGCCATAGCAATACCCATGTGTTAAAATAAATGTTCTTTACTTTCTTCTGAAAATTTCATTTTACCATAATTAATTACTTATTAAATTTAGAAGCCAATATCTTATAAGCAATGGAATTATTATGGAAATATTATGGAAAATTGTTATGGAAATGTCACAGAAATAAAGTCATACCATGTATGTACTATATTTGGACCATACATGTTTTAAACTGCTTTTAGAATACTACTTATATTTAATTAGCAAATAATATTATTTAGGAAAAAATCTGGAAATTATTTAATTTCTTAGAGAACATTAATCAAGGAAAACCTGTTTTTTAATCACTGTGTAGGTGAAAATGGTAGGATTGAAAAGCTAAAGGAAAGTAAAACTCAATCCTAGAACATTTATCAAGAGATTTAAGTACTAGGGTTTAAAACTAAGGTTGAGAAATATAGTTTCATGTTCCTGGAATGACCTCCTGGCGTTTTTTAATAAGGTTATTATTACTAACCACCAGAAGCTATTAACTGTTTTCACATAGTTCTTGTAAATATTTCTATCTAAATGTTAGCTAATTTTTAAAACTGCTTAATGTCAGTTTTTACTAACCAAATCACTTTTATAAGAAAATGTTTTATACCTTATGGAGGGAGGCTTTGAGAGGTAAAGACTTGAAAATAACCCTGAGAAACCACCTATGAATACACACAGGTAAGAATCTCCTGCTAGTTATATAAAAAATCAAATTAATTCAAACATAAGAAACAAAAACGAAATGACCACAGCATTCATACAAAGATACTATAAGAAAAGAACATGATGAAGGGTAGAATAATGTTCTACAGACCTATTATGAACTGAATTGTATCTTCCCCAAAATTCATATGTTGAAGTAAATTCCTAATCTCTACTACACTTCACAATGTGACTGTATTTGGAGGTGTGATCTTTAAAGAAGTAATTAAGGTTAAATGGCATTACATGGGTGGGCTCTAATCCAATATGATTGGTGTCCTTATAAGAAGTAGGAGAGATAAATGATATGAGCAACATGGTGGATTAGGTTATATCAGCTTTTATCTCTCTCACGCACACACACAAAATAGTTAGACTGCTACCCATGAACAAAAATAGTCCTAGAAGGGCTTAAACATCATGTTTAAAACCTACAGCAATACAGTACAGCAAAACCCAATAATTGCACAGAAAGGATTTCTGGGGAGATTGACATATGTGAGACATCTGGATACAGCTAGGAACAAAGAAAGGTGGAGAATATCAGAATCAGTCATGAGGCAGGTACCATTCTGGTCTCCAGTGGCCTGCTCTGCAAAGGATCCTAGCAGCCTTTTCTACTAAGGACTTCAACAGTTCCTGAGGCAGCCACACACTCCCTGCAGCTTTCACATCAGATGTCCCCTTAGTGTTCATTCTTTTTGTCTTGAGGACACTGCTGGCTCTTGCCACTGAGATGGTTAACCAACAGCCATTGCTGTTTTGACCTCCTGGAGAGAGAGAGAGAGAGAGACTGCTGTGCTCCAACCTCAATAAGAAGCCACTGTTGTGCTACCCAGGGCTACTCGCATCTAAAACCATGCATGCCACAGACTCCAGAGCCACAGACACCCTTTGCATACCCACATTCTAGGCCTCAGCTTTGTTGCAGGAGCATGCATGTCCATGTTTCATATTCCAAAGTCATTTCCACAACAAGCTAGCCTGCACCTGGGACCATGGAACCACTTTTACTCCACACATGTCTGCACTTTAAACTCTAGCTCTACAGCTGCTCTATAAACACCTCATATGGACACCAGAGCCACTGCTGCAGCAGCTGCATCTGCATTGTGGACTCGAGAGCAACAGTAAATGTGCACATGCCCATGCTCTGGACCCCAGATCCCAGGGCAAACACCTGCACCCATGACACTGGACCCACTGCAACACCACCTCGGATTCCTGAGCTCTGCATGAATTTATTCTCCAGACCTCATTTTCTCGTTTCTCCAAAAGTTCACATGCCTCACACACCATTATTAATGCTGCTACAAAGGAACCTGCACCACAGGCACCAATGTCCCTACTGCCCCAGACCCTGGAGCCACTGACTCTTCATGTGTATTCATACTCCAAATCCTGGCACCATGGCCACTTTGTGGGCACTGGACATCAGACACTGATGCCACCACCACCACCACGAGGATGCCCACAAACTGAACCTGGCATTTTTAGGAGTATCTGTGGGCATGAATTCCACTATGGGAGAAAAAGAGATTAGTAATATCCCAGCAGCCTTTCTAACTGAAGACCCTAACAACCCTCACAGCCATCGCAAACACTGCTAGCCTTGGCGACTGAGGATGCTGCAATTTTCACTGATGCTGACTTCATCTGACAGAGCTGCATGCGGAGTGTAAGCTGTTGCATGCTCACCAAGCCAGAAACATGACACCTCACCTAGCCAATGCCTTCACATCCACCCATAGTTGAAGCTCTTTCCCCACCAAAACCAACATGTAAATTCTGGAAGAGGTGACTGCATCATCAAATGTGCAGACATTAATGCAAAGCAAAAAGAAACAAGGAAAACAAACATGATACCACCAACAGAATGCAATAATTTTCTAGTAACCCAAAATAAATGGATACTCAATAATTTCCTGATAAAGAATTCAAAATAATTGCTTTAAGGAAACTAAGTGAACTAAAAGAGAACACAGATAGACAACTAAACAATAGAAAAAGATACTTGAACAAAATGAGATCAATAAAGAAATAGGAATTTAAAAAACCAGAACTCTGGAGCTTAAGAATACAGTGAATGAAATAAAAAATGCAATAGACAGTGTCAACAGCAGACTTGATCAAGCAGAAGAAAGAATCTGTGAACTCTAAGACAGGTCAATTGAAAGTATCCAGTTAGAGGAGCAAAGGAAAAAAGAATGAAGAAAGGCTACAGGGTTTATAGGAAACCATTGAAAGAGTTAAATTTTACATTGCAACATTTTTAGATGAAGAGAGAGAAAGGGGCAGGACCTGAAGCCTTGACCCACTGGAGCATTTGCACCCCCTGGTACCCAAAGTGAAACAGCACCCCCCCCCCTTGGGGACCCAAAGTCTCAGCCTACCAGAGCATCCTCCTTCTCCAGTGCCAAAGCTGAGGCAATGCTCCACCTTCCAGGGACCCTAAGCTTAGGTCCCCCAGAGCAGTTGTGCCTTCTGGGGCCAAATTGATGAAGTGCTCCATGTTCCACGGAATCAGAAGCTTGGCTGAGCTGTTCTTGTCATCTTCATGTTAAGTAGGCTGAGGAAAAGGAGGAAAAAGAGGGATTGGTCTTGGCGGTGGTAGAGGCAGATGAAAATCCATATGTAAGTGAACCCAAGTACTTCAATTTATATTCTTCAGGTGTCAACTGCATAATCAGACTCTCTCTTGACTTGCAAAGTTTTTGTTGAAAAATCCACTGAAAGCCACCACTTTCCCTTGTATGTGAGGAACTTTCTTTCCCTTATTGCTTTCAAAATCTTTTGTCCATGATTTTTTTATTAACAGTACAATTTTATTGACTAGTACCTTCATGTTGTACATTAGATCTTTAGACTAGTTGATCCTACATATGTGCTCCTTCATAACCTCTAACCTATATCTTCCCATTCATGCTCTACCTCACCCACCTTGCCTGGTCCCAGTAACCAATGTTTTATTCTTTATTTCTGTATCTTTGATTTTTCTTATTTTCCAAATATCAGTGAGATCATGAAATATTTTTATTTCTGTGTCTGGCTTATTTCACTGGATTATTCCTTCCAGGTTCTACATTGTGGGGCAAATGACAGGATCTCCTTTTTTAAAATGCAGAATAATATTCTGTTTTACATATACACCAAAATATTTTTATCCATTCATTAATCAGTAAGCACTTAGGCTGTTTCTATACCTTGGCTATTGTGAAGAATGCTGCAATGAACATGGGAGTGCAGATACCCTTATGATGTGGTGATTTCATTTCCTTTGGGTAATATACCCAAAAGTGAGATTGCTGGGTCACATGGTAGTTCTGTTTTAAATTTCTTTAGGAACTCTCATACTGTTTTCCTCAATAGCTACATCAGTCTACATTCTTACCAATAGTGTACAAGGGTTCCCATTTATGCACACGCTTACCAAATCTGTTTGTCTCTTGACTCTTTTTTTTTTTTTTTTTTTTTTTGAGACAGAGTCTTGCTCTGTCGCCCAGGCTGGAGTGAAGGGCGGGATGTCGGCTCACTGCAAGCTCCGCCTCCCGAGTTTATGCCATTCTCCTGCCTCAGCCTCCCGAGTAGCTGGGACTACAGGCGCCTGCCACCACGCCTGGCTAGTTGTTTGTTTTTGTTTTTGTTTTTTGTATTTTTTTAGTAGAGACGGGGTTTCACCATGTTAGCCAGGATGGTCTCGATCTCCTGACCTCGTGATCTGCCCGTCTCGGCCTCCCAAAGTGCTGGGATTACAGGCTTGAGCCACCGCACCCGGCCTCTTGACTTTTTATTAGCCATTCTATGTGAGGTAATATTCATAGTGGTTTTAATTTGCATTTCCCTAAAAATTAATGATGTTGAGCACCTTTTCATATACCTGCATGTCTTTTCATATATTTCTATGTCTTCTTTGAAGGAATATCTATTCAAGTCACTGGCTTGTTAATTGGGTAGTTTTCTACTTTGAGTTGTATGAATTCTTTATAAATTATAGATATTAGTTAGTAGATAGTAGTAGTTATATTATCTGTCAATATATTTTCCTAATTCATAGGTCGCCGTTTCATTTCATTGATTATTTTCTTTGATGTGCAGAAGACATTTAGTTAGATATTGTCCCATTTGTTTATTTTTGCTGTTGTAGCCCAGGCTATTGGTATGATATC